AATTTTAATTAGGTTTTGATTAGGATTTACTTAAAATTTATTTAGAATTTCTGTTTTTGATATTTCTTTAGAATTCTTTATTATTTCTTTAAAAAAACTATTTTTAATATTTTTAAGATTATTATTATTTCTTTAAGGTTTTATTTTTGTATTTCTTTAGGATTTCTTTATTATTTTTCTTTGAGATTAATTATGATTTCTTTATGTTTTTTTGTAACTTCTTTTTAATAAAAAATATTGGCTAAAATTTGATTAGGATTGTTGAAGATTATTTAAGGTTTATTTGAGATTCTATTAGCCTTGGTAGAATTTTGTTGTTGCATTTAAGAAAGTTGATCCAAATCATCCAAACATACTACATGTTACTTCAGATGTTATCATAAATTTGTATTTTCTCCAATTTTGATGTCTTTAAGCTTGTTAGAGAGCAACCATCAAGCAGCTGCTATTTAGGAGATTCCAACCCAAAAATTGTTAATCGAACAAAATAAACAAAGACAATCCAAGACCTCCAATAATGAGTAGACTCACAACCAATGATGTATTCTAATTGTATTGGATCCATGCAAAGCGCCCTATCAAAGCTCTAGAAAACAATTAGCAGCATCTACATCCAAGACCTAGAAGGCAGTAAGTTCATGGAACATTTTTAGATATTCAAATCGCAATATTTAACTTGCACATAGTATAGTATACATTCCACTTGTGCATAATATAGTATATAATCAACTTGTACATAGTATAATATATATTCAACTTGTGCATGGTATAATATACATTCAACTTGTGCATTGTATAGTATACATTCAATGCTAATCTGATGAGTGCACAGTAGTACAACTAGAATCATGAGTGTCGGGACTTTGAACGACACAAGAACCGCTGCTGCTCCAAACCAGATCTCAAAGATTTCGGAGCCACTGCTTCGTCCTCGCCTACCCACCTGCTCAACTTTGTGATCTATCCGTTTGTTCTAATCTTGCGCTAACAAGAAAGCCCAAAACTAATTTTGATGGACGCCCTCCGCTCACCTCTTCCTGCGAAATCTGCTTCCTCTCCGCCTTCTCCCAGAAACATGCCTCTTGTCAAAAGAGCTCCCCACCGCTTTTGCTGTGGATTTTGCACCCCTGCAGTGGATGACGATGTTAATACCCTTGCAATCGCGCTGCACCGTCCGCCACTCTCAATTTATCATCTACACCCCTCACAGACCTTGTTGGGCTGAGCTATCGAACTCCATCGTCTACCGCTCCGCTGTATCATCGATATCCCATGACAGACGTGGTTGTCGTGATTAGCTGTCGAGTTGCATCGTCCAAGTGGGATAGTGGTGTTAAATTGATAAAGTGGGGAAGGAAGGGATAGATATTAGGAAATACATTATCTGAACCTTTAGAATTAGAAAAATATACTAAAAATAGTAAAAATTGGACATACTATTTCTAAGCAAAAATAGAGTAAGAAAGACTTCTAGAAGGGTCCCTAACAATCTCTCTTAAGGATGTGTCAAACTTAAAAAAAAAAAAAAAAAAAAAAAAAAAAACCACAAACTTGGAACTTACTTTGTTGGATCAGTTTGGGTTGCATAAGTTCCGGTTAAGATGGTTTTGAATCAGGTAGGTTATGTCAACAGTATTAGGTGGACAAGGTATGGAGCAAGGCAAAGCGGCAAAAGGTGTGGTATGCAATAGACAAGGAAGTTGAGGAGTGGCAGATCTGATGAGGGACATGTATGCTACTTAGAGAGTTCTTTTTCTTTTTTCTTTTTTCTTATTTTTGCTCAAAGAAGAAGTAGAGATTACAAAGAAAGTAGCAATTTGTGCTGGAATTGCATAGAAGATCAAATTGTGATTTAGTTTTAGAGGGTGAATGGGAGAATTTAAGAAAAAGAAGGTGAGGGTTATGGCAAAAAAAATTGTTTGTCATAGGCATAGGAGTAGATCCAGATCAATAGAGAAGATTGCCGATTAGGAAGAGAAGGGGGTGCTAATTTAGATGAGCTTAAGTTGACTAAAAAAGAACCAATGGCAGTGCTATGATGGGTTGGTGTTGACAAATCTAAGTTATACGGCTGTTTCAAAGGACTCAGTGAGGTGAAGGCATACATATCAAAGGAAATTAGAGCGGTTGTGTTGCGGGGACATAGAAATGATCTGATAGCAACAAGGGCAAGATATGACTTGGAAGTTGATGATTATAGCAAATCCACCATGATTTGCCATGTTACAAGGTGATAGTTGATTTCCAGTAGTGATTAGACAGCAAGTTTTGAAGGATTCTTGTACATATTTTTGGTGTGAGAATAAGCAATGATGGTGTTGTGATCAATGTTATAATATGGTTTTTTTTCTAAAAAAAGTAATGTATTTAAAAACTCTCATGACCTAATTATTGGGTAGTTTAAATAATTTATTAATTAATTAAGATAATATATATAATAAATAAATAAATAAATTATAATTAAATAAATAATTATATAAATAAATATATATATAATATATATAAAAATATATAAAATTTTGATAAAAAAAACCATAGGTAAATAATGGTTAAGAAATAGAAGACATCTAGTCTTATGTAAGTGAAGTTACTCCATCGAACTACCAAACGCAATTAAGATGGGTTGATTTTGCTGACATATATATATATATATATATTAAAATTTAAAAAATTAATATATTTTAAAGAATAAATTTTATTTTTTTAATCTTGAATAAGTTATATATAATTTAATTTAGCATAAATATTATCATACAAATAAAGTATTAGATTTTAATTTTTTTTAGTTGTAAAATAAAGACTTAAATATTTTTCTAGATTTTTGATGTCAAACATTTTTTTATCATAAAGCTTTTACAAACTTAAATTTTATATAACAAAATTGTAGTTTCTTTTATATGTTTACTTTTTCTATCTAATTATTTTGCATGTAAATTTTTTTTAATACTTATATATATATATATATATATATATAATTATTTTCATTAGTTTTTTATTTTTAAAAAAATATTTTATAGATACTAATTCAACTTCTCATTGCCAAAAAACTTCTTTTGGATGATCTTTAGAATTCTCTTTGAGCTTTAATGAATTTCTCATTTACTTACAGGTTTGATAATTAGCCAAGTTTCATTGTAAAGTTCATAATACTTTTGATGCTAATTAAGTTAAAATTTAAATGCACAAAAATAAAAAATTTTATCTTCTATTGATACAATAATACAATAGGTGTATTAATTCACATTAGATATAAATATAAATATATATTTATACAATCTTTAAGATGTAGTTTGATCTAATTCAATTATATTTTGATACTTAATTTAAATTTATATATATATATATAGTAATGTTACATAAAATATAATTATTTGAAATAATTATCATTTAAGTTAATTTAATGATATAAATTTTTTTAATTTAATCTACTCAAAACTCTTTGATTTGATTGAGATGAAGATTTTTGCATCTTGCTCTTATTATTAATTAGTTGACTTTCATACATTACTATTGTATATTTGATGCCCTTGGTAGCTTTTGCTGAGATTTTATTGATTTTTATCTATTGTTCTTATCAATGATTATTTGTTCTTATACAAATGCAACTAATTAATAAATCAATGGGATTAATATTTTTTTATAAAGATATTTATATTACAAGATTAACTTTAAAATACTATGATTTTTTTTAAATCACAATTTCATCTCATTTTGAACTTACAAATTATTTCAATAAAATTCATATTAAATACACTTATTTGTTTAAGAAAAAATACATACCTATATATATATATATATATATATACACACACACACACACACACACACAAGGAATTTAATATAGACTTATAATTTTTTTAGTTAAAAATATTATTAAAAAAATTGTATCAAAAATATTCAAAAGTTTATTCAAAAGTTTATTCAAAAGTTTCTCTTTGAGACTTATCTTATTCATGATACGATATGTTATAGTAAACAAATAAGTACATAGAACTATATTATTTCATTGAATATTCAATCACAAAATAAATTTAATTACAACATTTAGAGTAATTATTATACATATATTACATGCATTTGATATTGCACAATTGCATACTATCCTTTAATACAAAATTAGGAAACCACTAGGTCAACACCCCTTGTGCCACTTACACACAATAAATCTCTTATTTATACTAAAAAATTAAGAATATATTTTGTAATAAAAGATTTGTGAACTTTGGCTTATGGTATTCTTTTATTATATATTGTTATAAAACTTATTAAAAAGTCATAATATATTTTTTATAATACTTTTATTTACATTAAAAAGCTTATTGTATAGCTGTCCTAAAATGTTTTAGTATAAATTCAAGTATTTTTTTTTTTTGTATGTATGTGGAGGCCCATGGCACACAAAGTGTCTATACAATGAAAATGAAATAACTACCTAATAATTTCCTAAAATCATCATATAAATCAATTTATAGTATTATCTCAAAATCAAAATATAAAAAGATTTAATAATACAATTAATTCATGTTTAAAATTTGATTTTGTATAACCGAAAATTATAAAATTTGACTCTTTTCATTAACAAAGAAACACGTAAAGTTTGCAATTAATTTATTTTTTGATTCTTTACAAAATTAAAAAATTAAAAAAATGTAACAATAATGTTTGCAAAATATAACCAAATCTAATCCAGTATCTTTTGTTCATATATTCACATTCAAAGTTTGTTTTGAATTTGTTATATAAACACCAAAAATTCTTAAAATTATACGTAATAAATTCTAACCTAATTTTAAAATTCCAACAATTGTCAAATCTGCATCCATAAGATTTGTCTTATACTCATTTCTTTAGGTGAAATTTATTGCTCATGAAATTGTTGTAAAACTACAAATTAGAAATATGAGTAGGACTTGAATGATCAAATAAGCAATGGATAACTTCTACTTGTAGAGAAAGCAAGAGACAAAAACATACAATAATGACAGCATTTACTCTGAAGGGACCAGTAACATAGATTTAACTGCAGATGAAACACTTAAATTGCCACATACCAAAATCCAAAATGTGCATCATTTTAGATCCAAGCAACTCATCATCTTTGTTGCACAAGGTCAATCCTGTTAGAACTGATGTCCTAAATGGCAAAATGTCAAAACAATTGGCACGCTCCGAAGTGTCGAGACAAAGTCATTAAGTGATTACAGATCCTGTAAAGAAACAGAAACGAACTACAATCCTGCCATTACTTGAGATAGCCAACAAATTCCACTGCTTCTGTAGCTCAATAAAAGGAGCTAGAAGTTAATGAGTAGGTGACATTCAACTCCAAGACAAGACAAGCAGCCAAACTATGAAACATGATATTCAGCAAAACCAACATTAGACAAGATGGGTCGGCTTAACTCTTCACTTGGTATTAGTAAGGGCTTTGGTGATGAATGCATTGATGTGTTCTAGTGCCTTTTGATCCTCTTCCTCTTGGCTTAGTCCTCCAGCACGTTTGCCTTTCTTAAGGGAGTGGTCACCGCCCTCCACCACATGCACCTCGTTCATCACAGATAGATTCTTCAGCACTTTCTCAAGCTCCGTTAACGGGCACATTGAGTCCTTGCTTCCCTACAGCGCAATCCATCATTGAAAAGGGGTAAGATGGATTTTACTTTCACTTGAGTAAAAACTGTGCTTGCCAAAGCATTGTCCATGCAATAAGCTGCACCTGAACAAATAAGACCGGGGTTTGGAGCTCCAACAGAGTTTGGTCACGAAGCGCGCCGTTCGCTCCCTGCAGAGCAGACAAAGCAAAGCGCACTCCGTGTTATGCAAAGCATTCAACAATGCATTCAATCCATTCCCCAGTCACACCACTATCAATGCAATGTCAGATCGAACCTTGGAAAAGAAAGCGCTCGGTTCACTCAACAGCACCAAAGAAGATTGAAGCTGATAATGATAATCATACATAGCCTCAGTTGACTTCTGTTACGGCACAATGTATTAGCCATGCTTTTAAGTGAAGTATTGCAGATATATACCTTGAGGGGATAGCCTAGACATACCACAGCAGCCACGTCGGTGCCCTCCGTTCCTGCTATTATGCAACTCACCCTGTCCATCATGACGTTGAAGGTTAGCAGACATCGCGGGACCAGGAATGTCCGACTAATTCCGTTGCTAAACAACAGGAATTCGAAGTTTCCTCATTCGAAGACCAAAGCATACTCGATCGAAGCATAAACCACCCTCTGAAACAGCAATTGCAGTCATGTGCATGACATTCCCAAGATAAACGCTCAGTATAATAGCACCCCCTGAAAGTACCTTGAACCCATTGATTTCCCAACGAGCACCAACGGGTGGCCAGGATGCTGTGAGACTGCCCTGCTGATTTCTTCCCTGTGACTCTCCACTAGCTTCTCGGCCTTGGGAGGAGCCCCTTTCTTGCCATTTGCACAATCTGTAAAATGAATCCAGTCAGCGCTGGGTTATGCCAACTGCACCGAGAATCTTCAGTCAACATAATTAAAATTACCCTATTGTGGATACAAAATTCCCAAATCAACTTGCATCTCAGATTTTGAGTAAAGCTTGAGCTGAAAGGTTTGTTTTCAGTCAGACATTTGTCAATGACAGTAAGAAAGTCTTTTCGAGCAATTGAAAGAACGGTAATCGGACCAAACAATAGGTGGAGGCAGATACAGAAGTATGGTCGTGTTGCATGAAGATTAATGTATGCACATACGACTAACAAATCGTATAGTCTCCAAACACGCAGAGGAGAGTTTACTTAAAGCCAAATGGTTGTCAAATAAGCAACTTACACGGGTAGTCGAAGGTGACGACCTCAACCGCGTTAGTTGCCTCGGCTAACAGCTTCTTCCATCTGCCATAGATTCACCACTGAATTCATCAAAGTTTAGCTTGAACCCTAAACTCGAAATAGAACAAGTCGCGTTCTATTCTGCCTCTTAGCAAACATCGCTTATCTGCTCAGTGCTTAAGCTAGATAATGTGTTGACACACATTGACATCACCCGCTTTGAGAGGCAAACAAAGGCATCGGTACAGGCCAACTATCGAGTAACTACATCGTTTTCTCTATTGCAAATCTGTTGGCAGAGGTAGAACACCAGAATGGGAGCAACAGGAACCACTGCATGGAATGTCATAACTCAGATACTCCGAGTGAAAGCTTGCGTCCAAGAAAAGGTTGCTTCTGCTCCTCTAATTCTGAGGGACATTTACGAAGGCCACTATTGGTGATCGGCAAGCGCGTTGTCTGTTCGAAGGCATGGAAACGCATCAAGACGAGCATGGCGATCACAGACCACGCGCACCTGACCATCCATTCGTGAGAGGAATTGGCTCCTGCACCGTGCGCGAATACGACGAGAGGGGCAGCTAATTTATGTGGGTTACTCTTCAGCTCCGCTACGCTCCCGGATGGCTCTCCCTCACCCTGCTTCAGTCCATCCTTCTGGTTCCTTTTGCTCTTTTTACTTGGCTGTTGAACTACACTCTTCATGAGCGCCTCCTTTCTATTGCTTCGGCTCTTCGACGGTGCTGCTACTGCTGCAGCTTCTTCCGGAGGAGGAGATGCAGCTCTACGACGCTTGGGTCTCGCCATTGGGCTTCAAAGCACTGCACAGTGGGTCCACATTTGAAAAAAGGAGCCTCAATTAACGAGCGCAACCGGGACGTACTCGGTCGATGTTTCCTCCGTCTGCTACTATACTCCGAAAGTTGGTAACTGAATCATTTCCGGAGAACCTCAACGCGCGATCGCACACTAAATCTTCAAGCTTTATTCTACATTTCTACCGAAGCTGCAAGAGCCTTCAACTTCAAGTCTTCCACTCCACCGCCATAAATGCGCAAGTCCCACTACGAAGAAGGACTTCTTTGTCCATTGGATGTCACGTGGATGAACTTTTCAAAATCATTACTTTATGGGTGACTAATGGATGAACTGTCTAATAGAACTGGGAGATTTGCAATTCAATGTGAGAATCAGTATACGACATGATCTCTATTGGTTAAACTTTGATTATCTTGGTTATGAATAAATGTGGTGGATCTAAAAATGTGCTAGAATTTATTATAGTTAATAGTATAGATAAATCCCTAATAACTGTCTCATAAAAGAAGGTAAATGACTACAACTATCTAATTGTTTCGATTGACTGAAATTGAGATGAAGCTCAATTTCAGTCATTTCAGGGATTTCAAAGTTGAGGCCTTACACCTGCTCCCTTGACTAGAAAGACCCACTTAGTTTTTGTGCATTTTTTTTAATTTTTTTAATTAAAGATAATAAATTTATAGAAAGACCCACTAAGTTTTTGTGCATTTTTTTAATTTTTTTAATTTTTTTAATTAAAGATAGTAAATTTATAGAGGATCAAACAATTGGCAATAATTCTAAAAAAAAAATTATTTCATTCAATATTTTTTTAAGTTTAAGAATTATAATTTTACTGTTTATTTATTTTTTCAAAAACAATAATTAATTTACATTACATATATATATATATATATATATATTATAATTAAATATTCTATTTGTTTATAGCCTTAAGAATCAAGTTAATTTCTTAAAATGTGCTCATAAGTTTCAAATTATATTTTTTATTTCAAAGTAACACAACAATTTTTTGTAATGACTTGTGGTAAGAAATGTTAATCATTTAAGGCTTTGAAAATATTCTATCAAAAAAATTTTAAAAAAAAAAAAACATATTTTTTTACAATAAAATATTCAAAAAATTCTACATTCTTATGTTTATAAATGCAAGGATGTCTATTTATGAGACAACTTTACTACACAAGTAACAAGGATATTTTACCAAAGCACTCACCAAGCAATTCTTCTAATCTAAATTCACCAACTAAATCATATTTTAAATTTTAAAAAATTCTTTAGAAATTACTTAGTCATATTTGTTTTACAATCTAAATAAATATTATAACTATCTTTTCTAATCCTTATATTCTCTACAAAAATTATATTTTATTTTCTTTCATATATTATAAAACAAATTGACCATCCATTATATTAAACTTCTAAATTATTATTATTATTTAATGATAATATAACATGCAAGATATGGCAATATAAATAAAATCTCACTTTCTTCACATTCAAATAATATTTTCTAATTTTTTTTAAAAAATTAAATGACTTTAATAGTTCTATTACTAAAAAGTTCCTATTTAAATGTTAAAAGATAATAATAATAAGCTACAAGTAATAGAGATAAATATAATTCTATAATTAAAACGTGTTAAAAAAATAAAATTACAATCTACATCTTTACGAAGAAAAAAATCTATAAAATAGCAATTAATAAAGTAAAATATTTGTTGAATATTAGTTGTTCTAAATCTTAAAATATTTTTACTATGAATGAAGTTAAAACTTCTTATACCATTGGTAATATTTTACATCCAAGAAAGAAAACCATCTAGTTATTTGTTATAATTAAATTATATATACCTAATTCTTAAAAATATAATTAGTATACTATTTTAAAAAATATAAATCCAAATAAACTTTGCTAAAGAAAATATATTTCCGTACTACTAATATATATATATAAGATTAATATAAACTAAAGTTGTTATTGTCAAACTCATAGAAATCAGATAATCTTCAATTCAGATTATTATCTAATAAAAAAATCAATAAGATTAAAAGTAAGCTCAATTTTATTTCTATGCAATCTTGCTAACAAGAAGGCCATAAAATAGAAAAATATTAGAAACAAGCTTTTATAAAACAATGACATATCTAAAAGATACATTGAATCTAAATTTTTTGTAAAGATTTTTTTATATTTCTAAAAAAAGATATTATTTACCAAATATGATTCCATCTAAATCTACTCCTTTATAATTACTTCGATTTATTCAAATAGTATAGGCATTTGTTATGCTACCTCTTTTCCTTTAAAAAAAAGTTCTACAAAATAAGGTCTAGTAGATTTATAAGTTGATGAAGTCTAAGATCTATAGAATTGTGTCTGTTGCAAAATTAAACCTATACTCTATACAAAGATGGTTGATAGGTTTTTAAATTGTTCATATTATCTTGCATAAAGTTAATATACCAACTGGTTAATTTATGACTATAGAAGTCATTAAACTAATTTAAATTAATATATTTAGAGGGTTATCAAATATTCTATATACTTCTAATAGTATTTTTAAACACCAAGACTCTCTATTAAGGTTGTGGTATTACATATTTTATAACTTGCTAGCTATTGTTTGAGGGATTTGTTATTTTTAAAATTCTACATATTACTATTAAAATATAAAAAATTGAAACAACTAAAGTGCTCAATTTTATACTTAGCTAACACATAATTCTAAAAATAAATCTATTGTATTTTTTTCTTCTATCTAATCAATATAAAATCTATTAATGAAGTTTTTATGAAATGAAACTAATTTATAAGTAATATAATTAGTCCTTTTCTAACAAATATTTCAAACCTTTGATAATTCAAAATATCACAAGATTAATCGATTTTGATATTACAACAAAGTAACCATACTTTGGTATATATATATATATATATATATATATAATTTTGGTATTTTTACACTTCTGTAAGCTATATTATTGTAAAGTTAAACCTTCATATTATACTTGTAAAATCCTTTCTTCTTTGATTATTAATATATAAAATTAAAAATGATCTAGTTGTAAAGAATAACCATAATTGCCAAAAAATAATATCTATAAAAGAGAAGAATATATTATAATAGTATATATAAATAAATTTGATAACAAATAATAATTTATCATATTTAAATAATGATAGATAGTATATTATAATTACTTGTTTAATATATTATTTATATATTACATTTTTTATTTTTTAAGATTATTTTTTTAATAAAAATTTATATTTATTTATAATATCTATAAATAATTTTCTAAAATCTTTATACAAATTTAAAACTTTTAATAAAATAATATGCAAATCATAATTCTATAGTAATGATAGATATTAATAATATATGTATATACATATATATTATCTACTAATATATTTTTTAAAATTTTAAAATATATTATTTTAGTTATTAAATTATCATTATAAAATAGAGTTATAACAAAAAAAAAATTAAATAAAAAATTATATTGAAAATAAATTCTTATTATTTTAGAAGAGTTTAAATATTAGAAAAGTACATACAATCAGTGTTGTAAAACCCTTGTTGACAAATAAGTACCATAAGATCTTACAAATATTTTAATAAATTTCAAAATTTAAAACAACTAAAAATCTTGTCAAAAAAAATATATATTTTTATTTTATCTAAAGAAATTGTTTGTATAGAGCCATGTTATACTTAGAAGTTATATAATCAAAATTAATTTTTTATAAATATTTTTAAAATAAAAAATAATCTTTAAAATTAATTTTATTATAATAATATTGATGGCTATTTGTGATATTAATTAAAAAAATATTTGTTGAAATATTTGGAAAATAATAATGAAAATTATAAAATAAATTGAAATTCTTGACTTAATAACTTATAGATGTAATTTTTCAAGTTTCAAAGTAAGAGATTTGATATTAGTTACACACACTATATCTTTCTTTTGATGTAGGATAAAAATACCTATATAGAACATTCTACAAATATATACATTGTTTTTGGAGACGAAATATAGTATCGAATTAAAGTTGTGACAAAGATATAATTCAAAGTACTAAGTAATGATTTTAGATATTTATTGATACAAAATACCTAAGGCATTGATAATTAAGATTAACTATAATTATAATAAAAATAAAAATAGATACAAATATCATTTTAAATATGAATCTATAATATTATATATATATATATATATATATCATAATTAGTCTTGATTATTAAGAATTTTCTTAATTAATAATCAATAGAACAACGTCTTTAATTTATATTTATTTGTATTAAAACTATACAAATATAAAAAAAATATTTAAGAGTCTAATAAGATAAGGATAGAAAATATATGGTTTTTAATTTTCAAACAAATCTTTTACCAAAATATCAAAAAAAATAATTAAAAAGATGATACACAATCATTATTAAATGGTGTTATACAAACATGTAGCCACAAAGTCTTTTTTTAGTTGAGCAACCTTGGTTTTTATATATTGTCTTCTTTTATAAATATATTCCTTGTTTTCTTTTCTTCTTTTTTTTCTTTATTTTAGATGATATTAGATATTATGTTTGGTTTTCTAAAACATAAGAATACTCTTTCTTCTAGATTTAAAGTTTTGTTTTTTATTTTAAGAAATTTAAATTTTATAACATTAATTTGCATACTTTCCACATTTAATTATTTTCTTACTTGCTAGAAGTATTTATTGCAAAAGTATAAAAGTTTTTGAGGTGTTAATATGCAACTTTATGTTCAAAACTCAATAATCAATTGTTTGATTTAATCTTAAAGAATCAAACAAGTTGAATAATATTTTCTTTATATTATGTAATAATTTATATATAAAAATTATAAAAATAATAAAAAACTAATATACATCATTTCACTGGACATTCATTCTAAGTATCAAAATTGTGATACATATACAAATAAAAATCACTTTTTCTGTTATAATATTTTTATTTTTACCAATTGTGCTATAAGTATAATAACTTAAGAATTTGATATAAGTACAAAAAGCTTTAAATAAATAAATCAATCAACTACATTGTAGAACCGATTCATTTTAGAATAAGATAATTCAAAATCTCTAATGTAATTTGATACTTTCATAAATATATAATTAATCTCTTCTTTATTAAGAAAAATTGAATTTAATATTATGTTTGTTAGTTGTATCAAAATGTCAAGATCATAAATCCAGATATACTTCTAAAAAGACAAAGTATTCATATATCATCAAGAAAGAAGAGAATAAATTAAATAAGATGTTTAATTATAAGATAAAAAAAAATTTGAGTGGCTATTGCAAAATACAAAGTAATACAAGAATCTTGAACGAAGACTAGTCTACTTTGGTCAACTATATATACTAACTAATAAGAATGTCATGTTGAAGTTGCTTAAGAACCATCAAGCTTGTATGTCAAGCATCCATTTTGTTGGTTGTTTTAATAATAATTTTCTCAAAATAAAAAATATTTAAAAAAATTCATAATTACAAGACATGTCTAAAATAAAAATAAAAATAAAAAATAATCAATTTTATTAGTGTCGGAGAAGCATCTTCAATGTGTTCTTAAATAAAATATAACCTACCTAACATATTTCTGCAAACTTATTTATATAATTTATATAAATTTATATTATGTAAAAAATTGTTATACCAAACACTATAGGTATTGGTTATCATTCTAAAAAGTAAAAAAATATATATCAAAAGTGATTACTTTGGTCTTCTCTTATTCCAAAAACAATGTTGTTAGATCCCATCTTAATGCTTTAAAAACTTAAAATCCTATCCCAAATAATGGATCCTTATGAAGTAAGCACAAAAGAATATTCTACAATAACACTTATATACCAACTATGACAAGTCTTATATTCCTTCCCTTGTTTGAGTTGTGATCTTTTTCTTCCCAAAAAAAATCACACAAGTTATTTTATATGTATATTCTTCTTCTACTTTTTACATGTAAAAGACAATTAATTCATTTTGTAATTATATTCTCCAACTTTGATATTCTCAATTAAAGCACAAGTTAATAATTACAATTCTAGGTGCCGGGGCAGGTGATGGCTCTCCCATCCACTCCATTGCCACCTCGTATTGAAGTGCCCATGGGCATAGGTCACATCTTTACTTTTAGGTCGCCCTTTCTCCCAAAAGCTCACAAAGCACGGTGAGGGTTGAGTTTTGACCCTCACACCAAACAATTTAAAAAATATATATCATACATAAGTATGATTATTAAAACTCAATTACGATTTTTACATGACCATATTCAAAACATACCATTTTACAAACTACTTATGGAGTAATGGTACAGAGTTGTACAATATTGCTAACACTTTTTGAAACAGGCATGCAACCAATTACCAACAACTTGAGTAAGCATATCGTTTTGTTCTTTTATACAAAGTGACTAATGAAGTAACCAAATTTCACATACATGAAATCAAATCAACACAACTTTCCACATCAATTTCAAAAATGATTAATATCAGAAAACAACTAACTGGAAATTTTATATCACTGTGCTAATAGAGTTTGAGTTAGGTAGAAATAATTCTTGAAAGCTCAACTAATCAATATAAGCATATTCCCCTACAGTCTATCGTCTGTTATGACTCCTGCACTCTCCCACAGCATGCAAGAGCTCCACAAGATTCAGCCAATAAAGCCTATATCCAGCGAAGTCAGGTTAAGGAGAATGATGTAACTCTGCATTCTTTCAGAATTATTACACTTTCTAATCCTCCAACAATCAGTGTTGTGACATAACTCATGGATATTCTTGAGAATGGTCCCATCTGCTGCGAATCTACTCAATTCCTCTTACAATCACTAAATGCATGATCCCTAGACTAAACCTGTCCACCTTTGTTCATGGTGGACTAAAAGAATGCAGCCAGAACACATTTCACCTCCAGGGAGGTAACCAGCAACGTACCCATTTCGCCTATCCTGACTGACGGATCTACACGAGGCTCCAGGGACGAACTACTATCTCATGCAATGTCCATGGTCGTCCTGTCTTTGCCGTGGTCCAACAGAAGACCTGCGTTGAAGATGTGGAGACTGGTGTGCAGTGCTCCCTTGCGCTTTCAATCGTCAGTACAGGGAGTCTCATGCGGTGGATCACCAGCATCAGACGTCCGGATTCCCAAGCAAACAGACCGAGTGCATGAGAAGACTACTACCGGATTCGCATTCCAGCATCATGACCTCGGTCATCAAGGCCGAAAGGATAGAAGTCTACTTGCTTGCACCACAATACCACATATCATAATCCGGAGCACCTGCTTATGAGATTCTGATAAGGCTTTTTATATCTAAACACAGATTCACAAGCTTTCGCATATGGGATATGGATTCAAATCCGGATCACCGTCACCACGACGGAGAGAAAATCTCAAAGTGGGCAACAAAGACTACAGGGAACGGGCACCTCCATTCGTGTCTCTCTAGCCATGAGCATTCTATGCTTGTACTTCTCGCAGAGCCCCCACAGAAGCACCATATTCGCACAAGAGATGACTTCCGCAGTCGCCACAGCTACCGAAAAATCCTTTCCTTCATGCACGATGTGATGTCATTCAGCTTCTTGACAGCGATCTTAGTATTTCCGAACAGGGTACCAACCTAGACAGGGCCCGGTCGGGACATAGCCGAGCATCTAGGCGAAGTTGCTGGGACTCTCAACTAGTTGTTTGTACGTGAATTGAGGCGGGCCTAATTGAGGGGGTATTAAATCAAACTCCTCTCTCCCAGCTTCCTCGAATAACTTTTTACGCAAATAGTATAACCACCACGCTGAACCTACAAAAAGCAGAAAAACTAAGGCCCCGAAGACACCTGCGAATGCTATTGCCACACTTCGCCGCGAGGATTTAGCATCAGGCCTACCCCCTGATCCTGTTCCTGATCCGGGACTAGGCACAAATCCGGGGTTCAAACCAGTAGTACTAATTCTTAAAAACAACGTTTGGAGGTCGTCCTTACTACCCGTCTGGTGGATCGTCTGCACCGCATCGTCAAGGTTGACAAAGCAAGCTCCCAGATCAGTCGTCGCATTCCTTCTCACATGTAAGGCCATCGTGCAATTGCAGCTATTTTTACAACGAATTTCACATTCCCACTCTTTCAAATCACTTGCGGTGGTATCGTTTAATATATCCAAAAACGTTTGGCCAGTAACTTTGACGAGCCTGTCCCCCGAGCATCCATTTATATCATTGGCAGGTAAAGCATGTGCACGTTGACAGCTGAAGCTACCTGTGATGATATCAAAACCTTCAGGGCATGAACACTTGCCGTTTCCAGTACATATACCATAAGATCCACACTTTCCAGGAAGAGAGCAACTATCATCGCTCTCGGGGTACAGCAGTTTCGTGTCTGCACTATTGTATTTTTTCAACCTCAAGCCTCCGTCGGAACCCAACCTCGCATAATCCCATTGTGCGTTATCCAAGTTTGCGATGCTTCCATTGGAAAGCAAAAACAATTTATTATCATTCTCACCATAGGCATCAAGTCCATTCCACATTGCAATATACTGTATGCTCTCCCCGTTACTGGAATGCTGTGGTAACGATGGGAAAGTTCGATACGGAACACGTCGAGTGCCGTTGATTTTAAAATCGTGAGCTAGGACCACAGTCTCCGGGGTCACTTGCATATAGAAAATGTCTCCACTAGAATACTCCCGATCCAATTGTGCCGCAGTCATCCATGAGTTGACTGTGAGTTTCTGTCCAGAGACGAGGGTATCGGTTGGGTAGTCAAAACTTTTCCATACTATGGCATCTTTCTCCTCAACATAACGATTGGATATCGAGAGGCATCCCCTGCTGTCTAGTTGTAGGTCGCTGAAATAACCCTTGCTGAGAACATCTTTTGAGTTGCTCCATATCTCCCGGTCGCTTGCAGTCAGCACTAACCCACCCTTCTCCGAGAATCGAAGGATACATACCTGAAGAATTCGTCAAATCACAGACAGTTCAAAACTAAGAACCGCATAAGACCAGCATCAATCACCGTAAAGATCCTCGTCTCCTCCCAATCCACAACACATTCGAAAACATGTGGCGCAAAGTTCACAAGACACGATCCTGACTCAACAACTCGACAAAACATGTAAGCAGAGACAGATCCCCAGAAAGAAAACTAAGAGCAGGCTCTCTCTCCAGCAAGAGCAGAGCATCGACGAACAACGTCGGTCGAAAAAAGGAATTAAGTTATGTATTACAGAGCCGGAGCCGATTTGATGATAATAGTGAAAGAACGGAGGCTTACCAATGGTTGATTATTCAAATTTCCTCCCACACCATCCGTGCTGCCATCGAAGCTTCCATTGAAGTTGGCAACCCAGACGGTTAAGTTTGAGGGAGAATGCTGCACTGCAGCCACACATGGAAACCTTGAATGGCTTGTAATCATAAGATTGAAGGAAAAGGTCCCATTCACGAGAATAGTTTTCTTTCTAATACGTTCTTCGGGACTTTCAACTACGCTCCATTCACCATATGCAGAACTCGAGCCCGGTAGCACAGGGCTCGTTGGAGTAGTTGTCCCTTGAGCCCGAACCTCGAGCGTGCGCCCCAAAAACATGCAAGATAGCAGAAGCAGTACCAGCGGATCCTTGAAACCCATTCTGCTCGACCAATTAAAACTTTTTAAAAAATAAAATAAAATAGTGATCTTCGTTTCACTCGATAGTAGTTGTGAATGTAAAGATCTTGAATGCTGCCTTTCCCGGATCTTTCATCTCCACGGCTGCACGACAGACTCTGTTGTCCCGAGTATTATCTACCTCGAATGCTGCTAAGATCGCAAACCCATAAACATTCAGGGATGCCTCCCGATCCACATATACGACCTCCGACAGAGAGAAACCTGTTCCCTCGTGAATTGACAGGATAAGGAATCAATGCACTCCTCGCGCTACCAGGAAATGCAACACAGTAAATCAATCCACCTTCTTCACATAATCCGGTTGGTACCAGCCTTGTGTGCTGCTATCACGGCAAGGCACCATAGATGGTGAAATGAGACGCAGGTAGGCCAAGTAAAATCCAGGCGTGGACAAGAAAACGGCGCGACCACTTAGAAGGAGACTATCCCGAGAACAGCTGCTTCTTAACAAAACAGAGACATCATTTCATGGCATGAGAATAAACCTCCCAATCTGATCCATAACAACAACAACAACCTCCTGCGCCGTTGATTCTTCCTAGCGAAACACAAGCGCCACACGCTGCAAGCTCCTTCCGACTCGAAGTGAAACGACAAAGATATTGCAACAAACCTACGCGCAAGTAAACGCAGACCAATGCCTCTTCACACACCGGGCACAGCGCGCAACCCTGTGTTCTTCCTCACACGCTGCGCGTCACTCCAGGATCTAAGCACTGTCGCGGGGCATCCAAACACACCGACCGCATTCCTCGACCCCAAGGCTACAAATATGCCCGAGTCATCACTACTCTGAACCTAACGCGTTGCTTGCTGCGACGCTCTTCAACGCAACTCCCTGTCGCAACATGAGATCCTTAGTCAGCAGTGGTGTTGAGCCCTAGCGCCCTCCCCGTATGAAGCGCCAGCAGCGTCTTCTGCTGCTACTGCTCCTGCTAATAGTGCTTCTGCAGCATACCTCCACCTCCATGGCCACACACACACAAACACACACACACACACACTCAGCGTCACGCTGCTTGCGGCCTTGTCCGTCACCCTGCTCGCCGAGAGTGACGCCGGGATCACAGCAGCCGACCTCACCTTGCCGGCCCCTCTATTCGCAACCTCCACCCGGTAGAAAAAACCAGTGATCGCGTTTTACACTGGTAATACCGGGAGCCCGGTAACCGCGATTGGGGGATTGACGTGGCATTCCACGATAAGGCGGGATGCATCTAAAGGTCCCAGCTGGCACCCCTTCGCGCCATAGTTGACAATCGTGCCTCACAACATTACACTGTTCAGTGAATCTACATTTCCGGGTCTCTTTCAGATAGCATTGCTTTTTGCAACACCATTGCATTTATTGTGTTGTGTTTGTGCAGCAACGCCGTTGTATTTTCAAAATACCATACAACCAATGGCGAAAACTTCACCTCAAATTCTCTGCCGGAATTTGTTCCAAACTCCCATCTGCTGAAAAGCTTCAGAAACTGAAAATTCAATGTGCCATCCATTCTATCGTTGGATTTGTGAAGAACGTAGCGGTAACACTTGTTCCGGGTGTGTCAAAAATGAGTAAACTGTTGGGAAACATTCGTATGTCGCGAGTCTGAGCCAAAACTCACCACGGAGAACGAACCCACCTGATAAAGTTTCTAGTGACTGTAGCTATTTTTGTCTGTTGGTGAGTGTGTTGGAAACTTCGGATGGATTCTACAGGAAACTTTGTAGATTTCAAACCATTAATTCTGGATTCAAAGCGACGTTGCCGATCTAGACATATATATATATATATATATATATATATATTTATTTATTTATAATGTGTGTGTATTTGGGCTGCCTCCGGAGATGATTTTGAACAGAGCGGCAGAGATTCTGCTGATTCTACACAATGGAATTATACACATCCGTGTATAAATAAATAAAATTGCGTGTCTTTCGAGATGATCGTCGAATCTGACCACACCCTCATCATCTTAAAAAGGCGACATGGGTCCCAACGCAGGGACCGAAAGAGCGGCAGATTTGCATTCGGCTGGCAGTAAAATTCAAGTGCATGCGATCGCCGGATGCGGAGTCGCCGATGGTGCACAAACGGACGGGATTGCGTCGCCCTGTACCAACAACTCCTGGCAGTGTCTGGATATGTCGATGAGTCCTGGATTTGAGGGAGAGGGGAAAAGAGGAATGGTAACAACCAGGACCAGCACCGAGTAATATAGCTCTTATGGTGACATAGCCATAGACTTAGGTACGCGAAGGCGGGGGGCCGAGACGAGCGGCTTCGAGCCCGAGGGAGGTGCAGGATTGAACTGTGTGAAGATGCGCGCCAGGCAGCATTGTCGGAGCGACAGGCGATGCAGGGATGTGGTCACGGCGTGCTGCCCATCTCTAAGCGAACCTCATTAACAATCCCGTTGCCAGTACAAACTCCTCCTTCTTCCTCTTCTTCTTTCAGCCTTTGCTGTGCGTTGCTTCGCTGATGCGTTGCTTTACGGTGACGAGGAATGCTCCATCGAGGCTGCTGCAGGATCTGCGTGCAGACGCGACGGGCCCTCGCCATCGCGCGTTCGGTATTTGGAAACTCGACTGAAAAAAAACTGGGGGTGAGTAGGAAAAATGTAGTAAAAAGTGGAGTGAAGCAAAACAAAAAAAATAAAGAAAAAGATAATCAATGGCGCAAAATTGAAATTTCGACACTCAAACCCACTCGCTGGTAGACACAAAATGTTGCGTTGTTTGTTCAGTGAAAAATGCCCAATTTATAAAATTCTTGCTTTCAGCGTATATGTATTTGTAAAATACCTAGATTATACTTAAGTAATTTTGCAAAACAGCTTCATAGCCAAACTTTGTAGTATTCAAAAAGGTCCAATGCCAGCTCTTTTTAATTCAAACACAATATTTTTATCACATATTTTTCTTCTGATTGTACATAATGGATTGGGCAAATTAGTTTCACATTAATTTTATTTTATAGTATACACGTATAAATACAAGCTCATTAACATTGTTTTTTCTTTTTCTTTTTCTTTTTTTCTTTCTCTTTCCCCCGTGGTCTATTTTTGCATATATGCAATCAAAGCCTACTTGCACACTATGTGTGAAGATTGTGCCATTGTTACCATCCAACCTAAAGAACTATTAGATGCAACTAATTGTACATAAATTATGGATATATATAAATATATATATATATATATATATATATACATATACAAGGGAATGTTAAAGCAATCCTATGTTTTACTAAAGCAACCCACCTCCTTTGTTCCTAGCCATGCTTCCTAAGTTCCCATCTTTTTTTCATTTCAACCTCATTCCTTCATTCTTGTCTTGACACCCAGTTTCTAGTTCTCAATCCAAACTCCATTCCTAGCTTTCATCACAATGATATGAGGGGCTGCAAGTGCGGTGTGGCATTTATTGGGCAAACAAAGGCTACAATGAGGATTGGCAACTCCTACTGAATAGCAATAATGACACTTCTTGCCCATAAAACCTAATGAAAAGACAAATACTAGAGGCCTTCCCTCTATGGATATTAGTGTTGGATCCACACTTTTGTCTATGTTTGAATAATATCTATCATAATTTTGCAATTGCTTAAAGGAAACTTGCAGAAAGTGAGTTATTGCAAGGTATGTAGATGGAAATGTGTCAAGGACACAAATTGGAAGAAGATGCATAAAATCATGGAATTTGTGTCAAAATGAAAGTAACAAAATAGAGGAAAGTATGTATATTCAAGGAAGAACTGGAATGACTATGTCATGGACATACATTGGAAGATTCTTCGAATATTCTTCTAGAATATTCTCTAAAGATTCTCTAAAGATTCCTTTAGAAGATTCTAGAAGAGTCTTAGAATATTCCCTAAAGATTCTCTTAGAAGGTTTTAGAATATTCTTAGAAGGTTCTAGAATATTTTGATAGATTCTAGGAAGTTGCTCGAGAAGTTTCCTAATTAGTAGAAGTTGTTGGAGAAGCGTCCTAGTTAGCGGAAGTAGCTCGAGAAGCTTCCTATTCAGTAGTATATATAGGAGTCGAGGCTGAAGGGTTCTTCAGTCTCGACAACACATCTCTTGGAGTTCTAGCTCACCTTTCTGGTGTTGTTCTTGTACTCATCTGTTTAATCTAGTTCTGCCACTTCTTCTTGAACTTCTTGTTAGATTTCAAGTCTGTATTTTGTGTCCGTGACAGTTTGTCGAGACTGCATTTTCACTGGTATCAGAGCTAGTTCCTTCTTGTTAGAGAGTGGATTACCCCTCTTCTTGAAGGTGTGCTAGTGTTTTAGAGGTTGCGGATTACCCTCCTCTAAACTGATATCTCTTCTTTCTCAATATTGGAGCCTTATTCTTCTTGGAGAGAGTGGATTACCCCTCATCTTGGAGTCTTAAGGCGTTTTAGAGGTTGCGGAGTACTCTCCTCTGAACCAATATTGTCCTCTTGTCAAAACTCTTTTTTCTTCTTTCTGAAGGTTAGCCGAAGGTTAAGACGTTAAAATGGCTGAAAGTTTGGAATCCAAACTAGACACCATCATAAATGCTCTTGCCTCGTTGTCACATAGGACAACAGAGATCGAAGGAGTCATGGTAGGACTCCATAATAATGGAGCATCTGGGATAGCGCCATCTAAAGCATATCAGCCTCAAACTTCTGCGCCAGAAGAAGCAGTTCTACCTTCAGTTCAACAAGATCGAGTAGTCCTACAACGAAAGGAGCCTCGAGTTAGTCTTCCGGATAAGTTTGATGGAACTCGTTCCAAGTTTCGAGGTTTTGTCAACCAAATCAGGTTGATAACAATTTTACAGCCCGAACGTTATCCGACGGAGGAAGCGCGTGTTGGGCTTGTTGGAACCTTGCTTACAGCACAAGCTCTGTCTTGGTTTACTCCCTTGTTCGAGAAGCGATCGCCAATCCTGAGCAACTTTGAAACGTTCTTGGAGGCGTTTGCAGAAGCATTTGGCGAGCATGATAAAGTTCGATGGGCTACAACAAAGATCCGATCGCTACGACAAGGAACACACTCTGCATCAGTCTATGCCTCGGATTTCAGACAATTGGCAAGTGACATTAATTGGGGTGAAGAGGCGTTGGTGAGTCAGTTTTATTGGGGCTTGAAGGATGATGTGAAGGACTTGCTGTTATCTCTTCCTGATCCTCAAACGCTCAACGAAGCTATTAGCCAAGCTGTAAAGTGTGACAACCGCCTATTCCAACGTCGCCAAGACCAACGTCCAAGACACCAAATGACTCGTTACGACGTGACTATGTCTGCAAATAGCTTAAACTCACATTCGGAGGCAACAGACATGCAAATTGACACGGCGCGTGCCCGATCTCTTACTCCAACAGAGAAGAAACGGCGTATGAAGGAAGGGTTATGTTTGTACTGTGGAGAAGAAGGTCACAAGGTTGGAAATTGCCCAAAGAAGCAAAATTGGCACCCTGTCAAGACTAGAAGTGCGATGATTCCGGAAAACGACGACGCCCAGCCACAGTAGGAACCGTGCGGCTGGACAATCTAATATCACGACAACAATCAGGTTCCTCCTTCTCTGTCCAACCTGCCCGTTGCTTTACAATTCTTTTGTTTTTAGGCCCTCAAAAACAAAAAACTTTAGCTTTATTGGATTCGGGGGCATCTACTTGTTTTTTAGATGAAGAGTTTGCTAAACGCCACAAGATCCGTTTAGTACAGAAGTCCAAACCTGTTCACGTAGAGGTCATAGATGGACGACCCTTATTGTCAGGCAACGTTACCCACGAATCAGAACCTATAGAAGTGGTGTTTAAGGACCATAGTAGTCACGTTGTTTTTAATATTATTAGAACCCCATCAAGCCCTGTTATCCTTGGTCTTTCTTGGTTAGAAGATCATAATCCGTCCATTGATTGGAGGCTACGAAGGATAACATTTCCTGAAAAAAATAATAATAAACCTATTGGTAGAACCTACATGAAGAAATCCATGTTTATTGGAGCGAGAGCGTTCCTAAGATTGTCCAAGGAAGGCGCACCATTTGTCATTTATGCAGCTCCAACTAGCGGCGAGAATATCTCAACATCGAATATACCAGAGCAATATA